GTGTGGTCAAAAGCTCACGCACCTTTTTCAGCGGGGAACTGCAACTCCCCCATTCAGCTCTTCCCTCTGAAAAGGTGCGAAGTCTAGTGGACACTCCGCGCGAAATGCTCCGGCATCCTCCAGTGCGGCGTAATCGCCACGCGATGGTCCATCGGCCACATTTGACTTTGAGGGAACACGCGCAACCCACATGAGGAACTGACGAGAAAACTCGACGCTATTAATGCGCTCAAGCATCATGCCAGCTGCTCCCAGCCTCTCGTAGGAGTTTGCTTTTGATCCGCTTACTGCGTCATTATCGACATACACGACAAGCTGGCGATTGGCAAACTTTTCTCCCCAGACCTTAAGTCCAACCAGCAAAGCGCACATTTCGGCCTCAAAAATAATGGTTTTTTTTTGCGCCGAGACCCAGAAATTCGCAAACCGAAAGCTGAGGGCTGAGGGGAACCGGCGATGAACTCGAGCGGGCGACCGTCGGTACCCACAAGAACACAACCAATTCCTACTGGATCAGAACGGTCAGGTTCGAAACAGGCGTCGGTGAAAAGGAAGAGCGTGTCTCTGGTGAAGGTCTTGAGGGTTCTGGAGGGCCCTTCAAGCAATTCACCTAGAAAATCTTCCAAATGGCACCTCCAAGAGCAACTCACATCTAATCGGCCTAAGACCGAGTGCTCCGTGACTGCTGCCCGTGCTCGTCTGGCCATCCTACCCATGAACTGATTTTCGGCAAACTGCATGCGTCCTCTTAAGCTCTGTGCCGAGGTCAAGCTGAGCTTTCCGTCTTGCAAAACTTTGCGAACCGTCTCAGCCAGTTCCCTCTTGCGTTCAGGCTTTTTTGAAATGGTCACACATCCAAACGCGAATTGCTCAAGGTCGATCTTCACTCCCAGACAAGCAAGAGAACTTGCAAATGGAACTCCTTTGTCTTCAGCTACTTTCCAGCCCAACAACCTGAAAAGCAAATCTATCGTGGCTTGCGTCGAAAATGCTAGTTCACTGCTGGTACATGCAAGAAAGTCATCGAAGAAGTTGGTCCAACACACGGACAGGCACTTGACAGCTATGTACCAAACTGCCCTAGCCACCCTAGAAATGCGAAGACGCTTTGCACTGCCCCGAAGGGAAGGGCAACTGCTTGAAACACCTTTCTAGCGTTTTCTTCGGGGCAGAACACCGAAATGAAAGCATGGTTTCGATGGCTCTCCTTTAGGTAAAGCTGTCGGTAAGCACTTTTCAAATCAAAGCTCCGCGCAAGCAGTTCAGTTCTTTTGGCGTTTTCCAAGGTTGCGCATCCAGTGGTCTATCACGGCTGCCGAGACGTCTACCGAATGAAGCAATGGGCTTTCTAAGACAGTGCATGTGCTATTGACTAATGAGCCACTATAATCGTCGATGCAACTATACTTAGACTTTCGCCAAATGCCAAATCTGCGAGAGACTGAAGCGCCCTTTGGAAGGTCACTCTCTTCAATAGGCCCCTTTAACCAGCCTCGGTCGACCTCCTTCAGGGTCTCTTGCCAAACGAAGTCATCACAAACGGCATCGCCCGACGAGCGAGTCCTTTCAAGGATTCCTTGGCGGAACCAGTGGATTGTTCTTCCAAGGTACTTACACTAAGCTCGGCGGGCTTATACACTTCGGCATACACACCTGACTCTTCAACCTCCCCAACTAAAGGCACACCATGCATGAGGAAATCGGCAGCCTTGCAGTCTGGATAGCCCGAATACTCAAGCATCTCTCGAAAAAGCAGCACACGCTTTCCGGACATCACTTTCTTGGCGCCTCTGTCAAAGCTACGATGCAACTCATCTTCTTGTGGCTGGAGCTCTTTGGCCCTGTTAATCCACATTTTGAACCAATCGACCCTCCGTTGCGCCAGGAAACCGGGCGAGCACCTGATGTTGTCATCTACTGCTTCTTGCAACTCAGCGGGCAAAGCGTTCAAAGGATTTCGCAATGCACCCCCCAGACATGTCTACAAGACTCGGCTTCTGCAAGGTCCCCCTGCTCTCCCCCCCCCGCGCAGTGGGCGCTGCAGAAGGCGGGCTTGTTTGGGAACCATGATGGCCAGGCCGTGATCATCTTCGGCCTGGAAGGAAGCATTGGTGTACTGTCCGAAAGGGACCGTAGTGGGGGCATGCCAGGCTGAAATGACTGTGGCATACTCAGGGACAAGTGGGGGGAGCTTTGTCCTGACAAAGGCGTGCGACATGGTTTTGGCTTGCTGCAACAGGCGAAACTGCTCGGTAGCCGCCACCTCCGTGGAGGACGGCGGCAAAACAATACCATACTCTTGACATATTTGCAGCACTATCTGGGCCACGGCCGAACAAAGGCCTGCAGGATATTGGCTTTCTTCGCGGGCGGCGAAGATGCGGCGGTTGTTAATGAATTGCTGGCCCCTTCTGGCGTGCACACGTTGTCCTGCGCGAACTCCCTGGGCATGCAAGGTTCAACTGCATGAACGCTGGGTGATTGGAAGCAAGCATCGTTTTCTTTGGACGTTTGCTGCCATAGGCACATGCAACGTGACACTGGAAAAGCAAATGCGGAAGCTTGTATTGGAGTTGTTAGCCAAAACAGGCTTCGAACAGGGTTTTCTATCACGAAAAAGAGGCCGTTGGAAAAACAGTAGTCTGCGATTTTCGCAGTCAAAGAATACAACTTGTTGGCTGAAAACACTTTTGCGCGATCCTCACGATCTAGGTTTGGAAGTCCGTCAGGCGTTCCGCATGGGGGGGCCATCCAGACCCCCACCACACGCGGGCATGCTAAGAACTCCATCAAGAGGGTGACGCCTTGAGGCGTTTCAAGATCAAGCTCAACGATGGGACTTTTTGTGAATTAGCACGAGTCTTATCGACTCCAAAGGAGGATTCAAGGCCATACTTTCGTATCCAACAAGTCACTCCTGCGGAACCCGAGAAAACTTGACTTATTAGCGCGTCGCTTAATGGCTTTCCATGCGCGGCGTCTAACCTCGAGAGTCAGTTTGCTTTCGCTGGGCCTCCGCTGTCCGACTTGCGCACGTCGATGAACGGATGGACTTCAAAGCACTTGCAACAAACATGGCGCCCACGCGGACACGATTGGCCTGGCGCGGCAGCTGAGCAATTGTTGAGGTTGTAGTTGAAACAAATCGCTTTCCCCTCACTGTCAGTCGGCTTTCCTCCCTTCAGGCCGGGAGGCATCCATGTTGCAATGTGTTCATTGCGTTTTCCTTTCTTGCTCTTTCCTTTGCCTTTCCCTTTATCATCACGGTCACCTTTTGAACCCTTGTCACCTTTGAGGCGATTGTGCCAGTAAGGGAATTCTTTCCAATCTTGTCTCGATGGCTTCTCTGGGATGGCTAAAGGAAACAAATAAAAGGACACTTCGTACGACTGCAAAGCTTCCATGATCTTGACATCTAACGGCCTGTCGCCTGCAGCATTTCGTCTGATTGCTGGCCCTAGCTCTGCTAGCTTGGCAAAAACTGCTTTGTCTGCCTTCTGCAAAGTCACCTGTCTATACCCCGGCGGAGCTTCACGAGACATGTGCCTGAAAAGAGTGCCGATGTACTTCTGAGAAATCTGGAAGCTGATCAGGTCAGAAAACTCGTAAGGGAAGGCTCTGCGAATGAGTGCTTGCTGAACCAAAAGAGATGAATTCACTGTGGTATCAGGCATTGCTAGGGTCTCACCTACCATGACACTGCCCCCGTGAACAACA